GTTTTTTTTAATATATATTTAATTAAAATGTATGGATCCCAGTCTTTAAATCACAAAATGCTTAGATGTTAAATAAGAAGGGAAGGATTTTATGTATGCGCTGTTATTCAAGCAATTAAAATGTTAAACATTTTAATTTCAGTTTTTTTTTCTTGTGTATGAGTTCAGGTATCTCCACTGCAGGAATAGTAGTTCATTTTATTAATGACACTTGGGTTAAAGCCACCTAGCGGTCTGGATTCAACCCTTTTGTAGCCAATTTGATCCCCAGCTTGCTATCCCTCCTTCAACATTTTCACAATTTTTTTATTCTTGAAAATAAATATTTACTTTTTCCAACATTAAAAATAAAGAAGGTGTGACATTGGGTAAAATTACAGTTAAACTAATATTAGCACTTAGCTCAAATAAGTGATCAATAAAATAACATGGAATAATGACAAAACAATGAAAAAATATGGGGTAAAAATAAAAATACATAAAACCATCAAATATCGCAAATTAAATAAAAAATTATACTTTGACTAAGCAGGATAATTAGAACTGTTACCGCTTCTTTTTTTACTGCAGTAATTGTTCTTAAAATTTAAACTTTATTTTGGCTACTAGTAATTTATATATTTTAAATGCAAGTGTATTATACAGTAGTTGGACACCCTAGCGGTCAGAGTGCGAATAACAGCGTTAAAGAAATGGTTGCATTAAAACATTTCAAGATTATTTTGCGCCATCTGGCGGCCGGTCTCAGAACTGCATCAACACCTCCGCGCACTTTATCCGGAAATATCGTTTTGAGAAGTTCCTCCGGAGCTTCCGGTCTGTTAATCCACTTGTTGAGCAGAGGAGAGGGGCGGGGAAGCGCTTACGGACTTACATTTTCACCAGAACTCCAATCATGTCGCGGGCAAACGGGTAAACGGCGCCCAGACAGAGCAGCAAAGCCGGCAGTTGAGCACCATGTTGAGTTTGAGCAGAGCTGGTATCGTCGGCGCCTCCGTCGCTGTGGCGGGAGGAGTCGCTTATCTTATCTGGAACTATGCGTCCTCCTCCGGGGAGGAGAAGCCCGAAACACGCCTGGGAGAGGTCGGTGAAAGTGACAGAGAGCAGCGGGAAGGAGAGAAGGATGAAATAAGAGAGGAAGAGACTCCGGTGATTAAAGCTCAGCAGCAGCAGACACAGTGTGCTGAGCCCACAACGGCCGTGGTTGAACCTGTAGCAGCTGCTGAAGTTCGGAACACATCACAGGTAACGTTCACCGGACACACCTGTGTGGAAATGTTCAGACTGCTGCTCCTAAAACACTACATCTGTGCCTTCACCCCAGCTGCCCCCCCGGGTTTTACACTTAAGACGAGACGAAGAAGCGTTTCGGTAAAATAACTTATTTTACATGTTGCGTAAAGTTGTACATATTTCAGCGGCAAATGCATAGGCACGTTCTTTGGGGTTCCCACGTGGTGTTCTGGGAAATGTAGGCTGTTCCATTCAACTCAAAGGCGGTTTTCGGGACAGTTTAGTGAGGCAGCGGCTGGATTAATCCGCACATTTTATATATTAATTCATTTATTTTTTTTATTTACATCCCAAGAGAAGTTATTAAATAAAATAATTAAATAAATACAAAAGTAAAATATTTTTTTCACTGAGTAAATGGACATTTTGAAATATCTAAAATAAAATATGGGATGTGTAAACCAAAAAAGAGATTTTTTTTCTTTTAGGTTATTATTATTATTAGTGCATATTACATTTTACTAACTAAACTAAAATAATGTCTGAGCTCGACCTACTGGACGGAAGCTTATTATAGTTAACTTTAAAAAAATCTGTCTAATTGTATTTAACGAATATAAAAATAATAAGAAAAAAATTGAAAAACTAAGTATTTTTTTAAAAAAAGACCAATTAAATGTGCTAAGTTTTGTTATTTTGGTTAAGACTGGAATCAACTGCTTTCAAAAAGTTCTGTGTTTATATTGTAACATCTATAGTCAATTTCCTAAATCCTGCATCTGGCATGTACCCCAAATACAATAATACTTTAAAAGACTAAAACTCTGGCCCTGAAACTTACAAAAACTAAACTAAAACTAATCATTTTTCAGACAATAAAAATAAACTAAAATGAGCAATCACACTCTGGAAATTAACTGAAACTAAACTGAAATAAAAACAAAAGTCAAAGTGAAATAAATATAAAAACTAATCAAGAAAATACAAAACTATGATAACTCGGCCTGGAACAAGTTAAGAGACACTATTTGGCATGATTATGAATAAAGAGTAAAAAGGACCTTCCTTCCAAGATTTAACATGAGAAACAGGAAAAACTGCTTATTTCTGCACAATTCTACACTATGTCGTATATTAGACCTATTCACAGTATTTTTAAATACTAAACAAAATCTGAAACATTAAGACAGTTGTTTGGTATATATTATCAATATTAGCTGTTCCTAAATAATATTTTTCTAAAGAATTATATACATTTTGGCGTTTCTTTGAGATTGAGAAACTGTCTACAGTACTTCTAGCCTGAGATTTATTTTTAATTACTAACCTGCAATATCAGTTCTGTCAGCTAACATCTGATTTTCTTCTTAAGATAATAATTAAACATCTTTTTTTGACTTAAATAATTTTTTTAAATAAAACTCAATTTTTACATTTCCATTTCCTGAACCAATGACATCATAGAGGAAATAATCCTTTTTAATATTGGTGTGAATATCAGGCTCTGATCCAGTGTGGTCTGTGTTCCAGTCCCAGCCTGTGGAGTCAAAGGGAACACAGGTTCTGGTTCTGGGTCTCGATGGATCCGGAAAGACCAGCCTGCTGCAGTCTTTGTCCACCGGCCGCCTGGAGCAGGACATACAGCCGACACAGGGCTTCAACGCCGTCTCCATCAACAAAGATGACTGCTATATCGAGTTTCTGGAAAGTAAGCCTGAGCTCATCTTTAGTATGCTCTGTCTCATATGATCCAGTTGAAAATCACATATGTGTTCCTGTATAATGCATAAAATCTAACAGAAATAAACACGGGAGTTGTATTTGAACAGTGTGTGTTGTCTCTCTCTTTTGACAGTTGGAGGTAAAGAGGATCTACGGCCATATTGGCAGAAATATATCCCTAAAGCACTGCTGCTGGTATTTGTAGTCGACTCGTCCAACCCGCAGCTCTTTCCAGTGGCAAAGAAACACCTACACGAGCTGCTGGCCTCTCGTCCAAGCCTGCCTTTAATGGTGCTGGCCAACAAACAGGTGGGCGTGAAAGAAACAAGTTCGATTGATTTGTTTCAGACTTGCAACTGATGCAACTAAAGTAAACACAAAATAGAACTGGCTTTTAATGTGAAGAATTGCATTTATTTATTTATTTTCTATTCTGAACTCCTATCTTGTAACATGTCAACAGCAGGAAACAACAAAATAGAGATTTTCAGATATCAAGCTAAGCTGCAGCTGCCTGAAGTTTGGAGAAGGCTGCATTAGGCTTCGATGAACACACCTCATCACAGTCTTGTGATCACTCTCACTAAGCTCCTCTGTACGACATGTTCAGCTTTTTAACCCCTTAGCAGTCCAATTAGTCCCCTAAACCATCCAATGTCCCGTGGGCGGTACGTCCGACTGCTAACAGGTTAATAAAAGGCATGTCTGTGCCACATAAACATTTTAACATGCACCAGTGATGTTACTGGTAGATGTGTGCTCCTTCCCTCTGCACGAGCTGTGGATAGCGATCTAAAGGATAGAACACCTTGGCCAGGGTTCAAAGCGAGCTAAGTTGATCTGAAAATGTGATGTCAACAGACTCCATGCACCGATTAGCCATGAGAGCAACTTGCCCAGACGCTTGCAAAGAAAAGCGTCTGGGCATCTTTAAGTTGCTTGAAGACATTTCACCTCTCATCCGAGAAGCTTCTTCTTTGATCCTTCTCTGAAGAAGCTTCTCGGATGAGAGGTGAAACGTCTTCAAGCAACTTAAAGAAGTCCAGACGCTTTTCTTTGCAAGCTCCTTTCACTACGATGACCTGGATGACTGAGAACCTTCACAGACAGGTGTTTTAAAACTGAATGATGTGGCAGTCTATCACTTGCATTTCCTTTTGATTTGTATCTGTTTGCATTTTCTGTCCATCTGAAAAGCACGTATGTCGATTTAGATGTCACAAAATAAAATCTGAAAGATGGCTTCCATCCTTTTCTCATTTTCATATTTTGGGTTAAAATCACTGAAGCAGCAAACCCTGCAAATTTTATTCTGCAGTAATTTGGTGGTGGATAAAATGTCAGCAAAGATTTCTCAGACATTACGCCCTTCAAATAAGTTCATCTTTATATTTTTTTTATATAATATATCATCCTTATCTTACTTAATGCTCAATGTTTTTTTCTTTCTCCAGGACCTTCCAGGTTCCTGCGGCATCACTGACCTCCACGACGCTCTGTCTCTGTCCGAGCTCGGCGACCGGCGCTTGTTCCTCATCGCTACCCACGTGAAGAAGGGCGAGACAGAGCTGAGCTCTGGCGTGCAGGACGCTCAGGCCCTGATCTCCCAGTTGGTTTGTGACGGTTTATGAAACGCACTGTTAACTCCTGTCACTTAATCACATTCAGTGAGCTCTTTGCACTTTTTTTTAAACTTTACTGTTTTCACTACGTTTGTAGGCTAAACCTCTGGTATTTATTTCTGTTGGTATTTCACGTTTGTGAGGAGAAAAAAACCCCTCACTGTTTGTTGGCCTGTTAAATTTTTTTTATTGATTTGTGTCAAACTGGGAGAACACAAAACCATTATCTCTATTTTTGTCCCAGCAGGTGATGTGTGGAGCCACAAATGTTAACATTTACAAGACTGTTACTGTGGTTTAAATTTTTAATTCCTTCTAATGTTGTTTGGAGCTGCAATTGCAGTAGTTTTCAAATCGATCTTAATGATTTAAATGTGTCAGCGTATTTCATACTTGCATACAAATCTCAAGCTGCTTAAATTCGTCATATCAGCTGAGACAAGTGGCCCAAACTAACTTTTACTGACTGAGATCTCAAATTAAAACATAAAATTTTGTGCTTTTGGACTGTACACCACCACAGTGAACATCAAGTCCAGACTTTCAGTATTAATTCGTGGGTTTTAATAGAAGTGCTGCATAAACTGTTGAGGAATTACAGCCATTTTTATACACACCCCTCCTTCTCCATACATTTCTCTACCCATTATTCTGTTAGTTAGTCTTGGTTTAATCTGTTCAAACGTATATATATTTATATGATTTTTGACAAAGTATGATCGGGCTTTCCTGGATTGTACACTAACAGTGATTTGCCCACCTCCCTGAGAGCAGTCTTGACTGGTTAGATAGTAATGCTGTTTCGTAACCATGGAAAGAACTCTGGGATCATTCTCACTGATTTTTCCTCCCCGGTCTTCCAGGCCTTTAGGTTTTGCTGAGCTGGCCGATACCGCATTATTGATTTGGCCTCTCCTCAAGTGTTTGCTGTCTCTCTGATAGGTGTAGTTTGGTTTTCAGATCAATGAAGACCTTCTCCGCTTTAATCGACACTTCTTTGGACCTCATATTGAGAAATCCAGTGAACAGCTATCAGATGCAAGTTTAACACTTGGAAGCAACTTCAAATCATTTATCTGCTTTCTATTGAAAAACGAGCAGGGAATTGTTCATCAACTGTCCAATTACTTTTGAGACTGGACTGTGTATTAAAAGGCTGTAATTCCTAAACAGTTGACATTTTTAAATTTAAGATAAAAGTCTGTTCTTCAAACACATCTGGACTGTTTGATTTAAAATCCTCTGTGGTGGTGTATGGGAAAAGGCAAAATTACAACAACAAAAAATTCATGAAAGGTTCAACTGTTAAAATGTCTGAAAGTGACACCATTTTGCCATGTGGGGCCGCTAAAGTGCAAACTTTGACTCTGTTCTGCCGTTAATATCAAAATCTTGAAACATTTAAGCATAACGGAAAAAAACAAAAAGACATGGCTCTTTGCTGCAATACTGCTGCTTTATTTTGAGTTTATTATCGCTCAGGAGTGTTACAGCTTTAAAAACACACGTATGTAACGCGTTCATTGTTATCTTATTCATTGTGTGTCGTCTTAATGCTTTAAAAAGGAGTTTGGTTTTTTATCTTAAGAACTGAATAAAACGAAACCCCTTCATATGTAACACTTTGGTGATTTAAAAGGGCGCATTACTTTTTGTTTTTTGTGACTCCTATTTTTCCAAAACCAAAACATGCATTTTACAGTAATGTGTAAACAGTTTGATGATGTCTTATTGGCCATTATTTCACATTTAAATAAACAGTTTCCACTGAATTATTCTTTTGCATTAAATCTTTAGTGTTTTGAACCACTGACCTTTCACATAGTTTTGTTTACAACAGCACAGCTCTGTGTCGTTGCTCATGTGAGCACAAAGCCTCATCACAAACATAGCGCTTGACATTTAGTCACTTCACACCATTGGAGCACATTTATATTTTGAATCGAGCTCTCCAGAATGCCACAGCAACAGTAGGCCTCCCAACTGACCTAGAAGTGTCCACTTTCCTTATAACGTTCAGCTTCTGAAGTCTTGAGTGGGCCGGATGGTTGAGTTAACCACACAGACTCCAGTTTCAGGGCGTCCTCAGGTGTGGAGCTGGTTGCTAAGGACTCCTACTGTGGCTATGGAGAGAGTAATGTGACATCAAGCTGACGCATCCAGCTCACAGCAGCCGCAAGGGGAGATGGTGTCTGGAAAACAAGGTAAATTTATCACTTTATACATGCAAAATGGTCATCAAATATTGGGGGGTAGCCTTAACTCATTTTTTGCTTTTGTTTTTTATTCTTGCAGCTGTTCAGTCCACATTTGGTCCATCACAGAGGTGAAATGGTTTTGATCTTTATGCCTTTCTCAGAAAGTTAATCATTCTCAATAGATTTGGTGTGTTTGTGTAAAATATTGACCACTATAAGGAGATATTGTGCGTTGCAACATTCCTACCAACAGTCTGCCCCAGGGCAGCTGTGGCTACAACTGTAGCTTGCCTCCACCAGTGTGTGAATGGGTGGATGACTGGGTGTGTAAAGCGCTTTGGGGTCCCTAGGGGGGACTAGTAAAAGCGCTATACAAATACAGGCCATTTAACTATAAACTCAGGAATAAACAGCTGAAACAGCATTTTCTTGCTCAAGAGTTTTCCACCATATCGGGTGTAACAAAATGTAGGTTGTGAGGGGGAAAAAATATCCCCCGATAGGTTGGCGAAGGCAAATCGGTTACAGAGACGATACTTTTCAAAAAAAAAAATCTCTTTGTAATTGCATTGGTTGCTTGCAGATTGCTGCAGTTGCCTATAATTTTCATAGAAGATACAAACTTGTCTGCAAACTGAGCAGTGGCGCAACTTTACTGCAAAATAAAAGTTAAAGTTTTTTATGAAGTAGAAAGGTCTCTGTTTCCAGTTTCTGGGGTGTATCACTAACACTCTGAGAGTAGTTGCAGGTAAAGTTGGTGTGTTCCATACAAACTGGGCGACTGCTAAAATGTTACTCGTGGACCAGTCAAGGCCTGTGTAGTTGGGGCCTTATTCTAAACATGGCGAGTGCTCATGTGAGTACAAAACCTCAATAGTAGCTAACAGTTTTAAAAAAAAACTCAGTGTTGAGAATAAAAAAGCTTAAGGCAGGAATGAAGTTAAAAGTAATAAAAAGTCTGGAAGAAACATTTAGCTTCAAGTCTGGCAAAGAAATTTGAAACTTAAATGTCAGCAATAAACAGTTAAAACACCAAAACTCTTAACAGGTTAGGTAAAATCATGATAAAACCATCTAATTAACATAAAGTCATTAAGAAAGAATAGAAACATTAAGCTAAAAGTCAGGATTAAACCATTTAAAGGAGCTAAAAGTGTAACCAGCTGAAACCAACATAATGAATAAATGGGGGAAATAGTTTGCCTACAGTTTTAGATTAAGCTTTTGATGCTGATGCAAGCTTAAAACCAACACCTGAAAATTCAAAGCTATGTTGTAAAAATCCATGTTTTATATAATCAGTAACCTCTAGTAGGGAGTATTTTTGGAACATTGCAGATATTAAAGGGGTTAAATGGAGGTGGTGGTGCAAAATAGGAAACCACTGTCATGAAAATGAATGACTCACAGTCAAACTCTGGCATTCGCGTCTTTGCTTTTTGATTGGTGGTAAAGATTTAAAGTTGAAACAGAGATTTTAAAAAAATGAGCGAGACTGTTTGGGAGCCAAAATATGGAAAACCCTAAACAGAGAAGGGAAACTCGCTGAGCGATTGCACAGCCCCGCTTTGGGCCCACAGTCCCTGAAATACACTCGTATTTATTGTTAGTTTTTGCTGTTTTGTGAATGCTGTGTCGTTTGACAGAATCTTGGAGTTGGCTCAACACAAAACCTCAAAAACAGTCTGGGCCACGACTCCTTGGTGAGTAGCTGACTCACACGAGCATCTTCCCCTTGATTAAAACCGAATTCTTTCTGCACACAGACTTTTTGTAACGCCACAATGGCCGCTATTCATCACACGTCTGTTTTTAAAGCCCTAAACATTTTGAGCATACTTAGTTCTCTTCCAGCTGTTACATCATTTGAAAATTGACTTAAAACTGACTCCCAAGAATTCAGGAGCCTATGTGGTCAGTGTTTCCTTCTTTTGAGTGCAATTTCTCCAAAGTGCATAATTAAAGACAGATGTCTGGCACCCACCGAATGTGTGTTTAAAAGAGAAAAACAATAGAGAAATGAGAAGAATTTATGGTTTGTTGATTGAATGGATCTTTCTTTTTTTTTCTTTGGGAAAATATTTATTCTGCCTCTGCACAAAGATGCTTATCATCACAGCTCCTTTTTGGAAACCTTTCCATTGATCAGTGAGAAGCTGAGCTGGGGCAACCAGGGGCCTGTATGGCCCATCTCCGCTTCAGCGCTCGGAGCCGCTCCAAGTGCAAGAATCCAATACCTATCCAGGCACAAAAGAGATTTCTCAGCAAGGGAGGACCACCGGAGGTAACTGTAGCCCGGCTGTTCCTCCAACATTATTGATGACTCTATCAAAAAGACATGAGAGGGAGGGCTGTTTGTGATCAGAGCAGTGTACACAAGCTTTTTATGTTGTGATGCATCAACATATTTGTGTGGAAATCTTCGCAGAGCTCTTTAGCACAGAGTAAAGTGATGTTCGGGACTGATGCCAGGTGATCACCCTCGAGAGCTGTCAGGCTCGATTAGTGCTAGCTACAGGTCCACAGCTCTTCTGTTTGTTGTTTCTCCTGCATCAGCTGTCGGATGAGAGGAGCAACGATGTTCAGTGTAACTCAATCAGAAACCCACGCGCAGGAAGTGCAGCTCACTGAACTGCAGTAATAATTCACTGTAACGGAGGATGACACTGATCACCTGCTGGTTTGGTGCAGACCATCAGCTATAGAGGAGCTTGATTCACGATGCTCACTGCATACATACTGATCCTTTTTTCCCTGCCTCTGATTTGCTGTAAGCTACATCAGTTAAATGTATTTACAGGGCTATTGTATCTGATAATTAGCCTCAATGCCTAATTTAATGAGAGTGCAGGCAAGATGTCTAGTCCGCTTTGTTCATTTCTAATCTGATTATTTGGCTCTGTGGTCAAGGTTTCTTTATCAATAGTGTCACGTTAATTATTTTACTTGGCAGCTGGAACTTTTGAATTTTTCAGGCCAATTAGGTGTGCAGCTAATTATTATTATTTATTATTATTATAATCACTATTTGACTTGATGATCCCTAAATCCAGACAGATGATGTCAGTGTTAATATAAAACAAAGAAAATCAACAAATCCATATATTTGAGAAGCTTTTTTGGCATCTGTAAAGAAAAACAGCCTAAAAAGATGATAGGTAATCACTGAAAATCTTTTCAGATGTATTAGAAAATTAATATGTTAACATGTAAAATCATTAATCAAAGGTACGTTCTGTAATTACCCTTCAATTAAAAGTTTCACCACAAGGGGGCAGTTTTGAAATGTGCAGCTTCTTTTTGCTCGCCCTCAGTTTTTTGCCTTTTCCGGGTCACCATTTAAGTTAAGATACCTTTCTGAAAAAAGACTACATTACTTAAATACACCATCTTGTGGTATAAATTGGTATTGCACAAAAATACAGTCCAGCCCCATTTCAACTTCAGCAAACGTCTCTCCAGCATAATACATAATACATAGACACTATGGACATGAAGTCATAGCAGTTGGTTCTTCACATTATAGTGACAACTATAACTATTTTAAGCTCAGGAATTTACAATAGTTACCTTTAACAATTAAATATTTTCTGATTTCTGCTTTTTAAGAGAAAATTGCTCAAATTTGAACTGTTGTGTGGATAAATTGTTTGTGGTGGCAATTTTGTACTTTTTACTCAGCTTTTTTAGATTAGAGGAGTGGATCGTTAGTTCAAGATAACGGCATTAACAACAAAAGAGTAAGATTTTGTATTTTTTATTGCTAGTGTCAACAAATGCCATGAAAAGTCCAAAACCAATTTGTTAATCTTTCTATGTGCCATTCGTCTTTTTTGTTGATATAAAAAGTTTGATCAGATTTTTTCCTCGTTATTTGAATCAGGAAGGATTCTGCATCAGTGACACACCGTCGAGGAGCAAAACAATGCGAAGCGAGCATTTAACCTCGAGTGTCACTCCGCAGTCTCGGCTGCGTAATGAAATTTAAATGTTTTTCCGGCTGCATTTTCCACTCATTCCCCCGTCATCAGCTGAACACTGACACTTAACCATTGTTCTGAATTGCCCCTTCATCATCATCCCCTCCTCCTACTTTCTTCTTTCTGGCTCAAGACAATGTTTTGTTCCAGACACACAACACAGCACATAATGGGCGCACTAATGGCTTCCATTTTCCTGCAGGAAGGAGGAGGAGGCGACGGCGAGCCTCTTCAGGAAGACCCAGCGACCTTCCTCCAAGACGTCCCAGTACGAAAACACCCTGCGTTTGTCGACACCCAGAACCAGGACTCGAAGCTCCCAGGATGCAGGGTAAAAGCCTCAGTGCATGCTATACTTAATCCATGTGTGTTCATGTTACATGCAAACATATTATCTTTGCAGCTGGAGAGCCCTGCACAATAAGCATCTTCTACTTCTACTTCTCTATTTCAATGTGAACCATTCTGAAACAGCTGTTACATGTAACCTACAGGTCAATCAGTGACACTCAAGGGATACTATTTCCTCTGACGTCTAGGCATAAGAAGCATCAAACCCGTGCTTGGTTTAAATGTTTTTATGCAACACAAGATGGGATGAAAACTTTTTTTGTTTCTGGTCATAAAAAATGAAAACACAAAACCTTCTCCTTCACGGTTGTCTCCTTGGAGGCTATCGCCAGATCGTCCTTCACAGGTGATGCCTCGCACCCCACCCACCACCAGTTTCACCTGTTTGACCCTTTGCCCTTTGGTCAGTGCCTCAGGGCAGTCAGGTCCCACACCTCCAGACTCACAGCACCTTCTTCCCCTGAGCCATTTAGACTGTTGACAAACACTATCTCCTCACAAACCACCACTGCCCACCCACCTCACCAATCTGAGCCACGGTCTGAGTAACTCTCATCACTCATGTCACTCACATACAGACTCCATTCAGACCAAGTCTTTTCTTTGCACTACCTCCAAGCACTTTGCTCTCCAATGTGTGCCTTTCCATTGTTTTGTATATATTCCTCCAGTTTATATGTATTCCTCTAGACTGTATATATCTCTTCTGTTTGCTATTTTTTTCCTGATGTTTTTACTATTCATAAAATTTTTTTTACTCCTGCACAGTTGGCGTGGAGCACCCATAATTTCATTTTACATGTAGAATGGCAATAAAGGGCTATTCTATTCTACTCTATTCTATTCTATTCTTGATCTCCCCTCAAGTGCTTGAAACGGTTTGAAGGTGTTTGAAGGTCCCTGGTGTTTTTGCATCATCTGCAACATCAAATTAGCACAGAGGGCAAACATCAACCACTGTATCAAACACAATGAGCGACCATGATCAACTTTCCCAGTCATGGTTTAAGTCCCAGACTATAAGGAAAAATGCCACAAAGATCACCACTGATAATCTTTTTAGTCTAGGACTAGGCTTAATCCTAGTCTGGGAAACAAACACCATAATTTTTCTTTTCAGAGATTAACAGAGAGCTAGATGTCCGATTGCAACTCCCAGGTATTTAACCTCTAGTGAGGTAGACATCTTTGCACATGACGACCCTCAGGACCACCTCGAAGGTGATAACCCCACCACAGGTTAAATACCAAGACTCATCCAAATGAAACATTTTAAAAAACCTTTTCTCCCCAAATCGTTTGGGCTATAACATCCTGACGAGTCTGAGAGAAGACATTCAACAAAAAATGGCCGTAACTGCGCACAGCACTGTTAAAATATCTTTCCTTGGTCGCCACTGGAAGCTGTCCAGAGGTGCTCAAGGAGAGGGCCTCAAAGGGGCAGCAGACAAGCTGAAAGATTTTCTTTTTGCGGAGGGAATCTTTCTTTGCCTGTTATATGAGCCATGCTGCTGTTTTAGAGATTAACATGATCAGTAATACAATTTATCATATATCACACAATTAAGGACCTACCGTCTACCAGTTTTCCAGATGTGAGGTGTCTTAACATGGAGCTTACTTACCGTAGATTAGTCCTGCATTGATGCAAATAAAATCACAAGTCTTTTATTTTGTTGCAATACTTTGGCAACTCTGAGCTTTTTAAGACTAAACACTAAATCAATTGTGTAGTAAGAAGTTTATAAATAAATGCATTTTCATTAAGTAAAAGCTTATGTGACTCAGTTTGGTTTGGTGGATTTGAAATTTTACATGGTATATTTATATATTTCCCCCATTTGCCATTATGTCAAATTGCTCGTTACTGCTTTGGCGTTGAGAAGCATATAAGCAGCAGTCAGACAAACTCTTTGAGCTGTCTGTTTTAAACGATATTTCCACGGCCCCCCATCACATGTCAAACTCCAAAGCCTTTATTCTCCCTGCGGGAGCTCACATGCAAACCAAAGTCTCAAGTTTAATTCCAGCAGAATGTAACAAATCATAAAGTTAAATCTGAGAAGGCCGAGCAGAGGATCAGGCCCAACACTGTGCAGTGTGAGGAAGCCAGCGTTTGTACATCTGTTATTTCAGTGACAGACTGTGGGAGAGCGAGGAGACGAGACAATAGAGCTTATTGTCCAAGGCTCAGCACCTCTGGGACCCTCGTAGACTGCCGCGGAAGTCTTTTTATAAATCCCGAGCCCAGCGGCAGCAGCTGAACATGTAGTTGGATGGAGTGAGATGCATCCCAGGTTTTGTTTGTTTTGTTTGTTTGTTTCAAATCAGTACAAGTTGATGTCTGCATTTTTTAGGCTACAAATATCACAGTGATTGCTGTTTTAATGTCCTGTATAAGAAGTAACAATTGCCAGACTCTCATCTTGTTGCTCTAAGAGATACAGACGGATAAATGAGTGAGACAAAACAAAGCAGATAAAATCAAACCCAAAAAGGAGATTGTGAAGAAAAAAAGCGCAGAGTAAGCCAAAATGATTTGGGAGCATTTCTGTATCTGATCCTGTAGTGAAGACAAGCTGAACTACTGAGGCAATAATTATACATAAATGGAAGCACACGAAGACTGAATAATAACAAGCAAACTGGACACACGATCAGGCAATAAACCACCCAAAAAAGCTTAAATGTTGTAAATATTCTCTTCTTCTTTTTTGACATTTTTCCTTTATTAGGCTGTGACAGAGTTTTGTTGTACTTACATGACGCACATCTTAGTCACTTTCCCAGTAAGGTTTACTCATTTAGCTTTGTCTGTTTTGTTTTCTAGCTTTTGGCCTTATCCGTGCCTTCAATGGGAATGAAAGTTTCACCATACCATAGTGTTTAGAATACTTATCAGCTTATCTTTAACATGTATTTGCATATTTTTTGAAGCTGCGTGGCAGAGAGCTGCTGGTACTGACAAGAATAATAAAGATTTTGAGGATTATTTGAGGAACACGATTGTGCGAGGCCTAATGTAAGAAGAATGTGAGAATTACGAAGCCCTGCATTATCAGGGGTTTATTTCTCGCGGTATAAGATGCTGTCTGCTTGTCCCACAGGCCTCCTCACACGCCTCAAGGTGAAAAAAACTGTCCTGTGTGGCACAGCGATCCCAGGGTGAAAAGTGCCGTGATCACACCTCGACTGCTGCAGCTTTCCAAACCCAAACTCGCACATCCGGACTTCCAGAGGAGCAGGGAGGTAAGAGGAGCAGAGCAGATCATTTCAGAAACAAATCCGTGCAAACATCCATGCTCTTTTTCAGTTTGATGCCTCGTGGCTTCTTGTGTAATCACAGGGAGGCTTAATCACACACGCTTTTGTGAAATATGCTTTCAATATTTTATTGGCATAGATTCAGCTTGAAAATTGTTGTTTTTTTTGGTGGTGAAAGAATTTGTTTAATGGGGTTTACACTGCATTGAATTAGCTGTAAAAGCCACATATTTGTAGCTTAAAAGATAAAATCTTTTTAGGTTCGGGTAATTAGGAACTTTTCTTCCACGTAATCGTTAGCAGCCACTTTGATCTAAACTAAATGTTTTAAACCTCGGGCTCTTAAATTTTTCGCACCTAAATGTGAAGTGGTCGAGCAGATTTATAAACAAATCAGCCTTCCTCTGTCTCTGCAGGGATGTGTTGTGAAAGTAGAAACTAATACCTTCTGTTCGTCTGCAGAGCGTCGCTTCCATCGTCTCTCTCTCATCCAGAAAAGCTCGCATCTCGCAGAGACTCGTCCAGCTGTCGCTGCCCAGACTGAAGGAGAGCAACATCTGCTGCACACTTGGACGTCCAGAGGAATCCATCTGGACTGTAAGTGCTCTCACTAACACAGCATCACCCCATGTCACTAAATACTGTACTACTTTTAGTCTAGCATGCAGACTCCAAGAACAAGAAGTGTGTTCTTATTTTATCATTTCTTCATCCTCTTGGAGGCCACTTAAAAGAGCCGGTGTTGCTGGTGGCCTTATTTTACACCTTTGCAACATCTGAAATTTCCCCAGCAAACCCTCACATACTCTGTTACAGAAAGTATAACACCAACATTAGTCTAACCCCAAGTTTATGATGCCAAATAAATACCATCAGGAGGCTCAAAGACCAGTAATGTGCGGCTTTTAAGGAACACTAGAAAAGTCTTTCAGCAAAGCATAAATTAAAACTGTTTGTTAGGGTTGTGTATTCAACATCACACTGTCAATTCAAATATTTTCCAGCTGTGTGAACCAGTTGTTTTACATCATAAAAACCTTGTTTTAATGAACTGTGACACTTTCCAATAATTATAATCAGGCAAATGAATATTTAATGTCGTTCTGCCGATGGAGAAATTCTGGGACTTGTTGTTTTGCGGGATGCCTTTTATGTTTTGATGAAGGTCATAAAAATGCAGCATAATTACCAGCTTTTACCACTAGAGTTTAAATTTTTATTGCTCACTTATTCTTTTTTTCCAAGTGGCTGTGATTAATGGAATTTAATGTCTGAATCTCAATAATAAGGTTTCAAGAGCAGCGAGGAGAGCCACAGCGAGCGCTCGCATTGAGATGCTGGCAGAACCAAAGCAGCTTTCCAAGGACTACATCCCACCACGAGACCCAGAGTGGAGCCGGAAAAACGTCCAGTCCATCTGAGTGCGCGTCGCCATCGAGTCGGTGTTTCACCAGACTGAACTCTTTGTGTTTTCCACCCCAGACTAAAGCAGAAACATTTAAAGGTCGAAATTCAGATCCTGTATTCGTGTTTCTGTGCTTTATTTACATTCACAGCCTCTTTAATGGTAATTATGACAGTTATTTCGAGCGAGTTATCACAGCTTGTGAACAGAAAAAGTAGTACCAAGAATGAACCCCCGACTTACTGTGAAATTAATGACGAGCCAGAGAGATCCAACAGGGAAACACTGGAGTGTCTGTCTCTGTGTAGCTCTGTCGTCATCATCTCTATGACTCTATGCATGTCTATGAAATCTTAAATGAGTTAGCGTTGGACTGGATATGGCTGACATGATATATTGCTGGTTTAAATCTCTGATGCCTTGGCAGATTGAGGGAGTAATGTTAAGAATAAAAACATGTCTGTGGCTCTCTCTGTCTACAGTCTGCAGCTTTTGTCTGAGCCTTGGCACGATACTGCGATCCACGTGGTTTTTGCCTTTGCAGCCGAGCAGGATTCTGCATTTTATTACAACCATGTGTGTATGAATCTATAAACACTCTCAGAGTCATGTCACAAATCTCTGGATTTTTTTTTTTCAGGGTAAAGTAGAAGCTATTCAGAAGCTGCTCCTATGTCAAAGGTCATGACTTTGACATAGGGTGCCGGGACATCATTGTGAAAATCCTGCTGTTATCTTATTTACAACACTGGCTGCTGTAACTAAGCGCTTTGTAAAAAAAATTGCTCATCCATTATTCTAGAGTGAACCTACAACCCACTGTGAGGCTAATCAGGGATTAGCCGGCTGCAATCACGACATCCAACCGTGAGGTGTAAAGAAGGCAGAGGAGGTGGCAAGGATGGAGGCAGAGCAAATAATAAAAAATAGAAATCCTGTTAGCTGAGAAAACGTTCTCAGGGGTGGGAATTTGACTGAGATGCAAGAGGAGTCAAAAAATCGTTTAGTTTCTCCATTTATGCTTTGCATTTAACATGATTTTAAACAGTTCCCCCTTAATTTACCTTAAACATTTATTCATGAGAGTAAAGCAAAAAATAAGAATTTCCACCTCTGCAACTGTTTACATTGTTGTTTAGATCCACATCTGTCCTGATATGACCTTTGACATTTCAGATACAAAAAGGACTTGCTTTATTATCTTGTCATATCGTGCTGAAAAATGAAGCTGTAGTCAATCGGATGTTTTCCAGACGATATTGCACGGTGATAATTTTCCGCATTTACAATTCAATCGCTTTTGACATGAATCCCAACACCACTGGCTGAAATGCAGCCCAAACCACAATAGAGCCACCACCATGTTTTACAGATGGCTGTAGAGACTCACTGTTGTACCTCTCCTCCTGACCTCCTCCGTGCAAGGAAATACTGCTGATGATTTAAATCAAAAACTTTTAATCTGGACTCCATGAGTCCTGATTTCATTCCAGCTCTTGTGTAATTTGGCAAAAACCTTTTCTCCCTGTTTCCCTCCCATAAGGATGTCTTCTTTCAGGCTTTAACCCTCACCCTGAAACTATTTCTGCTGAGGCTTCAGTGAACAGTAGATGAATCAACTGAAGGATCCCAGGACTGACCTGAAAATGGGTGGAAAAAAACAGCAAAAGCCAGAGAAAAAAACTTTCTGAAAAAGTAGCAGCAAAAGCTTCAGTAAAAAGACAGCAACTGGCTGAGGCGGGTACATTTTGCTCTCCTGAGTTGAACTATCATGCGAGTTGTACCGTGATTCCAGGTTAACAATAGTGTGCTCAAAGTAGCAAGTGTAAATATGAAAATCTTTGAGATTAAACAAGAAATATTGATAGCACGTCAGGTCCTGAAGGGTGTGAGCATTTCTTTACTCCTCCTTTTTTACAGCTTATAAACGGAGCCGTTTTAAATAAAATGATGAGTCCATTTATTTTATGTCCACGCCCACGTTTGTTTTGCCGCCAGGACTTTGTTTCTGTGTCTTTGCTGTCTTTGCGTTTCACTTCACTTTTATCTCTCACATGTGTGTTTTGCCAGCAGCCTGACACAGGATGTTTTGCTGCTGTATGGCGAGTCCACACCTTCTGCTAAATACAGGAAGCAGTTAAAGTGAGATGTTCTTAGGGTGATGATGCAGTCACTCATGGCACAATGTTCATGTTATAAAACCGTCCTGTTTTAGACCCGAGTTTAAAACTAATATTTACCAGTCCGGTTATGAAGATCCTTCAGAATTACCACAGATAAATCGTAGTATTTAAGAATTCATTCATCTCTTTCATTCCTGTTTGCATGGCATTGCTCTGCAAACAACTGTGTCAGGGTGGAGTTACAGGGACTTTCTACAAACAAAATCCCTTTGGTAAATATTTCCCAGAGCAGTGAGAACCTGGCAACCACAGCAGCAGCTCTGCCTGCTGCTTCTGTGGTTTTGAACTAATACATCTGCTGGACTTCAGTCTGCAAACTCTGTTAATCAACCACCATTTATATGCATATAAGTTGAGGTAAAAGCAGAATTTCTATATGAGTTCACTTTGGGTTATTTCTTTTGAGTAAATGTTCCAGAACCAGACAAAACAGATAAGTGAAAAATGGTCAGGAGGAGGAAAGGATGCCAGAGTGTAAATCCCAAGTGCCTGAAAGTGTGTCATAAGTCCAAGGATGTTCAAATTTTAGTTTGGAAAGCGGGTTAGAGGTCTGTCTGCGGGCCTACAAGTGTCTAAACAGGATTGTGTACTTCCTTTATTATTCCCAAGCAGATCAGAGGTGGTTTGCTGTTAGTGTAGATGTCTTTTTGCAATCATGTAACATTGGTCAGCACTGCAAAATGCATTTTAAATATCTGTACTCAGTGTTGTTGTTGTTTTTTAGTTTTATAGCCATTTAAAAGGACAAATCTTTACAAATATAAGTGCTGATCTCTCTGTGATGTGTTGACTTTTAATATGTGGGTGACATTTCTGAGTAAGGGAGTGGTGCTGGACCTATTAGAAAATGAGGAGTGTTCTTTCAGAAAGAACTTTGCTATTAATAGCACATAAACAATGACATGCATTAAGTCTGACACCCTGCTGAATGTCTTTAAAGCATCACTGTGTGCGCTTGAGACTAAGTATCCCATGCTTCTGTGTGCACAGGATCACCAAGCTGACTCTTAATTTCAATGATTATCTTCAGTTAAAGCTTTTTATACAAGGTGTCGATTCTTGGATTGATGATAGATTATGGCTACCTGCGTTTTTTCTTCTGTTTGGCTTTTGAATAACATCAAGTGATGTTCAGTTTTGTTAGTTTTTATAATGCAAATGATCCAAAAATGAATTTTCAGTTATCTGTAAAGTTTGAAATCAGTTCAGTCTAAAACTAACTGCTGTTAAACTAATAAAACGTCAAGTTGGGCCTTTAAGATACAGAAAACAACTCAACCAGAAAGATTAAAACACACAGGAAGTCTCAGTCAGAGTTCAGGAAGCTAAAAGAGATTATCTATTTTGTTTTTCTGTCCTGGTGGTTAAAATGATCAGAACAGTTGCACTTTTACTGGACCAAAAAAAAGTGAGTTGCAAACTGAGCAGTGCAGATTCCTCGCAGCTCTGCAGAGTCCTCTTAGCAACACACAAAACCAGACTCCATTCAAATTCTGCTCACACGCTCATCGGGGAGGCAGATCATCCTTTCGCTGGAGTGACTCGAGGACAGGCGCAAACATTTCCTCTGCCAAACATGATGAGAGCAAGAACATCAGCCTCACTTCCACAGCTCCATGACTTTTGACCCTTTACAACATCAGCCGAAGTCTTCATGTTTATTTCTGCAAGTGTTTGGCCCAGACCAGCAAACCTGAGCACTCGGCTCTCAAACACTTAAATTACTTTACCTGTGTACACAGCGGTGAATCCTGAATGTGAGACTTCATGAAGTGTTCGAACATGTGTTTGGTGTTACAGCACCAAAACATATTTCTTAGTATTGTGAGTATTTTAATGCCAAGGAACCTATGGGCATTGTTGGGAAGGTTACTTTTCAAATGTATTCCACTACAGATTACAAAATACATGCCTCAAAATGTATTTTGTAACGTATTCCGTTACGTTACTCAATGAGTGTAACGTATTCTGAATACTTTGGATTACTTAAGTGAGGCCCATGAGGCTACATTCTTTTGAGCAATGCCTGTAACACTCTGCCTATTGCCTTCATATTAAATAATTTAAAAAATATTTCTTCACGTCATTATGAGACGCGAGATTGCAGGGATTTGAGCCTCTTAATGCGTGTTTTGTTTGGGTTTCCACCGGTATGGAATTACCAAAAATAGAGAGGGCATAGTCGAACATATGAAACAGGAAAAGACCGCCGTGTAATCCCTTTATTTCAACAAAGTAACTGTATTCTACATACCACCTTTTTAAACGGTAACTATAACGGAATACAGTTACTCATATTTTGTATTCTAAATACGTCATGTATTCTGTTACTCCCCTGGTATAACACTGGTTATGGGTGATCTGAGCATCCACCAGCCTTTTACCTTACTTCTCATATAACACTTTTTTACTCTACTTGAGCACTCAAAGCGCTTTGCACAACATGCCTCATGCCTTTTTTTTCACCTAAGTGATTTCTATCTAATGTGCAGCATTCCTTTGGCTTTCCTTATTATAATCTGTTTTCTAATCCGGTCGTTAAGTGATGACGTGACGAATCCTACTTCCGGGCCTAAAGTAGTCGGCGTTTAATATGGCTTTTGTGTTGTTAACATGTTTAATGTTATGTATTTTCTTCTATTTGATCTCAAAAAGCTCCTAAAACAGTCAGTGATCCCTGTTGACCTCCCTCGGCTTTTATTACCGCTAATCATTTATTTAAGCTCAGTTTTTAAAACCTTAGGATGTAACTACAGCCCAGCCCATGCAGCAGTATATGAATGACTAACCTCGTATTGTGGATGGATTATCTCAGTTGTTCTCCTGGCTGAAGTTTGGTCCTTTTACAGCATCCTGCCATGCGATTACATTTGTTCCTGACCGAGAACACTCACGTTAACTTTTATCGAGTGGAAATAAAGTTAGCTTGTTTATATTATGCTAACATAGCTGTGTCACTAGCGATCACGTAGCACATCATTATATACCAGCTAGCCAAACTTCAGTAACCTTACAAACGTCACTGCTGTTTAGTTTTCTGTCTTCATTTATGTTGGAAGTGATAACAGAGCTGTACGTTTTAATTTGTTTCCAAAACCCCGCAGTCAG